CCAAAGGTAGGGCTGTCTTGTAGCCTTATCTATTACAGTTTCCCTTAATTAAATGGAAACAATCTGCTAACACTTCTTTTTTGGCAGGACATATTTTAGACTGTTTAGACTTAAATACAACTTTCAGACATCTTACATATGACAACTTTTGTCCATTGGTAAACGTACAGATAGGATGAAAACTGTAACTAAAAGCATAGCCACTGCATCATTCAGATAATGAGACAGATGCTATCAAACTGCTCTTGCCCTTGCCATACTGCACTAAGGGCTCAAAACTAACTTTTTGCCACTGCTGTGATGGAAAATGTGTTCTTTAAAAAAAGAAAAACTTTAAGAAGAGGCATTAGATGTTGCATATGTTCATGACAGGAGATACACAAAGCCAGCGGTGGGTCCATTCCATTCATAGTTGGACTTGTGGATTACTTAATAGTGAACTACAGTTTTTCTTTAGTTTTAGAAATACAGTTTTCTTCCATAAGGTTTCTGCAGAAATATCAGATTTTTCTCATGGCATACTTGTATGAAAAAATAAAGTTCCTGTGCTTGTACAAGACTGAGCCTTAATTCTCATAACAACAAATTCCTCTTCACAAAGAGCATAATGGTAATATTCACCTTCTAAGTTGGTTTAAGATCACTGCGTAGGTAAGAGTAAAGACTGCAGGTTTCCTTAATGATTCTGTTTTATAATTATATTTTCACTAACTTCAACAAAAAGGCTTATTAAGAGAGTTATGTGTTTGCATGTTCAGACACAGTATCATCAGCTTAGAGAAGAAAGAAATTTTCAGCTGTCATTCACTGAAAACACAAAGTGTACCCAACTGAAAATTAAGTTCACTTGCATCTAGTAGCACTTGACTTTTTGTCTAATCAGAGACTGCACAGGACGACTCGAGGAACAAAATTATGCATCACTATTGATGGTATCGGAGCTAAGCTTTTAACTGTAGCCTTATTAAACAGTTCTGTATATTGGAACGGTAGGATCTATTAGACGTAAAGATTCACTTCAATTTAAATTTTATTTCTATCATAAACAGCTGCGCTTAGTATTACAGAAGGGCAATTTTTAGAGTCCAACTGAAACAAAAAGTATCAATGCATAAATGGCTCTGACATTTTATGAAGTCAGAAAATAGCATTTTGTAAGAAGAATAAGTAATATGATCATTAGCTGAAGTAAATATCCTGCTTCACTCATCCTGTTTTGTCTGAATCTCCATGCTTACACAAAACAAGCCAAACAGCTGTACTATTATCAGCATATATTTGACAGAAAAAAGGCAATGATAATTCCAGCTTATGATTTTTCCCTCCTTGTCTTTTCCTTTCAAAAATCCTGCACATTTACCACTGAACCTGGTGAACAGGTTCTCCTTTTTGGAAAGCGTTTACCAAAGGGTAACCCACTCATTTTTCATCCTGGTATGCCCTGAAATCGCACCGAAGATGGTAGAAGCTGTTAGCTAATTATTGGTGCGAGGGGAAATGGAAGGATCTCACGGTTTGTGAGATCCTTAATTAATACGAGGTCCAGGCTAGACAAGGATTAGCAGACACATAATATGTCAAACATTTAAATAGGTTTTGGCAATATGTACCGATATGCTTTCAAAATCATAAATTCATGCGAATTCTGTACATGGAAAGAATGAAGGAAAGAAACTTGGAGAAAGATCAGAGATACAGGAGTATCTAGGATAGACAGAAAGGACTGGACGGGTCTTACCACAGGATACGCACCTCAGTCGCCTACTGACGTTCAGTTTGGGTTGCAATCCCTAAAGAATCAGAGCTACAAAGGTGGAAGGCAGAATAGGAAAAGAAATGGAAAGAGGAAAGGGTTATTAAAATGGAATGAGAGAAGGAAAAAAGCAGGAGAATGCATAACTCTGGCATAGGCAGCCTGAAAGTCAACATACAATGTACTAATTTAGAAGTAGGTACTTCTTCCACATCAGGCCCAAGATGCACCCATCCAGACTGCTTTAAGTTAGGAGCACTGCGTTCACTAAGGGTTGGCGCTTCAGAAGAAAGCTTGAGAAACTAAAAACGAGCAGTACTGAACAACCAAGCTTTTCCCTGATCTATTTAGTTTAGTACTGACTTATATCCTGAAGCATGAGCACTGACATCCCTTGCAAATCTTACGTTTATTTTTTAATCCTAGCTTATAGCTCTATCTATAGAGCTTATAGACAGATTTTATATTATCCATAAAAATATCCTGTTTCCTTGAAACCCACATGGGCCTAAGCTTTATTATGTGTTGTGGAAACGTGTACTACGTGGTAATTATTCAACCTAAAAAAAAAAAAAATCTCAGTTTGCTGTCCTTTCAAAGCTGAAAGGAGGGGATGGCTGAGAAGAGGACAGGTTTTAAAACTAATTATAGTCCAGGGGCATGCTGTGCATTACCGTTCCTCCCAGTGCCAGTTTTTGCTCTCCTTTTGGGTGCTGTTGAGTTTTCTGTCACTGATTGCCCTGCTCAGTAGCTCCATCGGTCTTCCCCAAGGAAAGACGAACTGCAAGCACAGCCAGCGATTTCTTACTTTTTAAAGTAAAATAGCAAGTACTGCTTTTTATCCTGCCAAAATATTTTAAAAGTGAGGACTGAGTATTATGATGTATAAGGTTTATACCTCAAACGCTTTGTCAAACATTTTAAACTCCTGTTCCCAGGGGTTTGCGTAATGTTCGTGTACCTGTTTATATTCACACACACGGAAAATTTTTAGAAATCACATAAAGATAATTAAAGCAGGTATGGTCCCTTTCACTTTTTGGCTTTCCTTTAAAAAGTAAAACAAAGTTGCCTGTATCATTTACTAAGCTACATTCACTAAATGTATTTGTGCCAGAGACTTCTTGGGATATAGGATTTCATGCCATCACCTGGAGAGATTCCCAGGTAAGCACATTTGGAAGATGGCAGGGGTTGGGGTGGAGAACAGAGGCTGCCTTACATGAACTGCAGAAACAGGCATTTTTGCCCTACATAGTGAGCCATAAATACATATCAACAAAAGTTGGTTAAAAGAATTCAGAGGCGTAAATTTATCTATGTTAATTCTCATTACATCATCTGGCCATCTGAGGAGAAGGTCAAGGCTTTGAAGACATACCTAGAAAATTTGGGCTGAAGACTCAATGTAACCAAATTTTAGTATAGTTAATAGCTGAGTCTATTGCTGTGAATATACGCAACCCTGCTATTTTAAGTCTCTACAGCATCAAAGACACATTTGTACGTACAGTCTTGGAGAGCTAGCAACTTAGGACACCAAAGTAATGTCACTTAGCGCGTAAGGGGAGGTTAAAAGGGGGATTAAAAGCAGTCAGGCACGATATATTAAATGAATCCATGACTAACAGGGTGTGACAGCAAAGGGTTTCATTCTTTTCAACAAAATAGTTCCCTAGGGCTGGAACTATTACTCCACTGTGCCTTTATCACCTTGGAATTTTTATGGTTATTTTTGATGAATTCACATTTTTGTAAAGACTTTTTTGACATTAAGCCAATTTTCATTTTTAATTAAAGTCATAAATAATCTTAATTCTGCCTTAAAAGGTTTATTGTTTCTTTTTTATTATTATTACTGCCAGGAAATATTTCAAATACCAAAGCATGATGTGAGCTAGCAATTATAAGTTCTCAAAGGTCCAGTAACTATGCTGTAACTTGTAAATATTATCCAAGGCAAAATTCATCCATCTTTTAAAGATCTGTCTCGACTGATGCCATATTTTTTCTTTTGTTTTTCTGCAGGTTTGACTTATTTCCCCTTCCATATATTAACATATCTCAGGTGACCAATGGGCATAAATAAATCCTTATCAAACAGATTGGATGCAAAACCAATCAATTTTAAGCCCAAAATGCAGACACAGATAATGAAGCAAGGAATAAAATGGGCCAGCTTTAAATCATTTGGCACAAAGGAGGAATGGAAAACAAAAAAAACAAAAAAAAACACATGAGAAATGTAAATGCATGAAGGTAAACCCCACATAGTATTGTAATTTGATGCAATCAGACAGGGACACACCGCATTATTTTACTTTCAATTATAGTACTGTTACACTACAGCTTAATCAGCTCCATAACGAGAGTTGCAGTTAATGTGTAATATATGTATTTTTCAGAGTAAAAACCCTTGACGGCCATGTGCTTATAGTGAATGGCGATCCATTTCATCAAAAACTTCAAAACTATAATTTTCATATGGGGCTCGCTTCTCAAAGGTTTATCTATCCCTACACTAGTGCACACAAGTACTCCTTTTATCATGACCAGTTTCCAATAAAACAAAAGCTTAGATTTTTATCCTCACAGGACTAAACAGTGTAATGCAATAGTGCCAGTGATTAATGTATGATACGATGAAAAATGCTCAGGAAAAAAAAATCATTTCCTTAGCTAGCAACTCAGCTTTTCAAAGATGTGCTTATATATACAAACAACTCATGGAGTTGACTCACGGAGTTGACATCCACAGGATGCCAGCATTGTGAAATATGCTGATATGTTTAAGTGTCTGGCATATGAAAATATAATTAATTTTACATTACAGCTTAATCTTACATACTGTCCATCTGTTACTGCCCATCTGTCCTCACAACCCATCCTTCTATTTGCGATGGGCTATATTAACTGGATTCTACATTACCACGTATTTACCAAGTGATAAAACTTTAAAAATCAAGAACTATTTTTTCAAAAATTACTTTTAATTTGTTTCATTACATAAGGTTAGTGATTAATCAACATATCAGAAAATAAAGAGCACTGAAGCAATCAACCTCATTAAGTCAAAGTTAAAATCATTATTTATATGAGCACCAGACCTATTATTTCCCATTAACTGTTTTTCTAATCAAGCAGTCTGAAATCAGCATACTTACTTAAGATGCGTCGAAGCAGCTAATATTAGAACGCTGGCTTCCCTATATAATTTTTATACCGACCAACACACTAGAAAATTTACCTTTTTCCTGGCTTGTTGGTCTTTGGAAGAATGTGCTTTCACATGCTTTCTCAGAGAACTTGGATCCGTGTATCGTTTAGCACATCCTGGAATCTGACATGCATAAGGTTTCTAAGCCAAGAAGGAAAAGGATAAAGAAACAGCTGTTAAATCGCAGATCATTCAAACTTGTGAAAATCCCCTGTGAGCCTTAGGATGCTGCAGGACACATGAATGCAGAAAACTTCTGTCGTACATTACTACCAGCAGAATGCCCAGTAATTTATTAGAAAGGTAAAGGAGGAAAGTAAGGCTTATAAGGAAGACAAACCAAAGGAAATCTTTCTGAAACTTTTTAAAGCATTTAAAAAAACGCCACTATGCCACCTTTCACTGTTACTCTTTTTTTTTTTTTTTTTAATCAGTACAAAAAAAATTGCTGGTTATACACACAATTCTTCCACACTCAGAGCAATCTTTGACTTAATCAGAAATTACAATCTTTAGTGAATCAGGTAAAGAAATTGCAGTAAAGGCCGAGATAGACTGTTTAGGATAATAGAGGAAATCTGCTTCAGAGAAAGAGAACAAGAAAAAATGTTAGTTTACTACAGTACAAAGAAAGCAAGCAAAAATCAAAGCAAACATTGAATACTAAAGTATCAAAAGTATTGCATGCAAGGATATACATTTTTATCTGAAGTTAACAACCTTTTCTAGCTCATATTTTCGAATAACACACGGGCCTTTTTAGGCAGATCTCAGTTCTATAATATCTTACAGTTTGCTTAAAAAAACAGTTTAATTTGCCAGAGAGACTATAAATCTCTTCTTCTAACTGCTCTAACCTGTCTATCTTCCCTTAAGACCTGCAGGTCCACACAACAGAGTATTAACCATTAGGTCCAACTGCTTACTGAAATTAGCTTTTTCATAGTTTAGCCAGTTATGCTTCACAAAGCATTTCCAAAAATGCACTTTTATGAAGGACTGACTTACCAATCATACTACCTGCTATTCAAAATGGATCAGTTAAGTTTTCTGAGAGCCACCTAATTCGAATGGCATTGTTTCTGTTTTTTTTTTTTTTTTCTGGATTTTTGCTCTTTGGAAACTGCTTGTCCTTTCCTAAACCCGATTTCATTTTGTTATGAAATTAAATGCTTTTACTAAACAAACCTCAACTGTGACTCAAATTCACAAGCAACAAAAAAGTCTTAGGTTTACCAAATTACTCTTCCTCTCTTGACGTTCTAGCTTGTGCCTGAACCTTAATTTCAAATGAGTTTATGTATGTCAAGACGCTTGTAGTTACTATCATAGGTGACTTTTGTGTCTTGCATAATGACTAACACTCCCTGAAGATCACCTCAGCACAAGAAATTGCTCCCTCAGCCTGCAGCTAGGCCCATGGAGCTGCGGGCTTTTTACCAACTTTTTGGGTCCACCTTGGCAATGCGCATGCTCACATCACTGCGTCCTTTCCGAAATAGCTTAAATAGCCTTAGCAGACTGCTAAGAGTCCCCAAAGTTAGGGGAGAGCTGCTGCCACCAGCCCAGGAGAGCAGCAGTGTCTCAGGCACAGGAGACACAGCAGGGGCTTCAATTTCTCACCGTGTCCAGGTGGGTCCGCTGGTGCTTTGCGCGATCGCTGGAGTTGCTGAAGGCCTTCTGGCAGCCGGGGTGCTGGCAGAGGTACGGCTTTTCGCCCGTGTGGCTCCTCAAATGAATCTTGAGATTTTCCAGTCTGGAAAAGGCCTTCTTGCAGCCCTCAAACTAGAAAAGAGAACAAAACAGTTTTACAGAAAGACAGGTGCAGCAAGGTGGGATGATGACTACAATGAGGCAGGGTGAAGGCTTGCTGAAGCTCCAGCCTGTGCCAGCGGGCACCTTGCCAGCCCTGAAGACACCCTGGCTCCTCAGGGTGCTCCTCAGCGTGGGTACGGCTACAGGATTTGAGCTGCCTGGATAATATTGGCCTTTTCCGCATGTGGCTGAATTAGGAAACTTTGCACTGCTCCCATTTCAGAGGTGGGAACCTGAGACCTGAAGTCACCAGACAGCTCCAAGCTCAGCATCATTTATCCCCTCCAGGGAAGCTTGTCCCAGCTGATTTTCCCAATAATATGTGGGAAGCAAAATGATCTCTGTGGGGTTCCCGTGCCTGGTGCTACCACATGCTCAGTCCTGCGCTTGTCAGGGTGTCACCAAGACACCTGAAGGCAGGCATCTCTCAGTGCCAGTTAAACCCGCATGCAATCAAGAAAATCTGCACAGGGAAATACTAATCTGCATTGCCTTGCTGACGGCACTCCAAAAGTGAAAAAGGAACCCCAAAAGCCAGGGGTAAACACCTCACACCTATTTGCATCATTATAAATCACTGTCCCTCAGTAGTAGTAAAATGACATTTGAAATATTACTCTACCTTTCTGCCATAAGTAAATATATTAGATACTAAAAATGGTAGGCACAGCATCAGAGTCCATCAAAATAGGATTTAATATCTACAGGTAACCAGTAACCATGCACCTAGTCAAGTTACACGTTCACAGAGAAAGCTAAGTGCATGTGAGCAGAACATCAGTTCTTCACCTGTGGCATTCCCATGGCACCCTTTGTGTCAGGGGGAAGTAAAAACCATCAGTTCTGTCTGACACCAACATTTTTATGTTCATTTGATTTCAGTTAGACTTGAATATTTATGACTGCTAGAAGGATAAGGCTTTATGATTCTATCAGGCAAGATCAATTGATCTCACTAGTTTCTGCGACTGCACATTCCATTGTGCAGCGTCTAAAGTGTTTGCTGCGTAACATACTAGTTTGCAGTTCTGATATACTTGCAGAAATTATACTGCATTATCAGAGATGTCAAATGCTTCTCATGTTCTAATGCAAATTTCTGAGCATTTGTCTTCCTATTCAATTAGTTGACAAGAACTGGGCAATTGGTCTTGGAATAACATACATGAATTTTATTGTATTTTATTTAGTGCATGTATATGTTTACAAAAGCATAGGCTGGAAAACCCTCACATAATCTTATCATAATTAGCATGCATTTATTATTAATTAGCATGAAAATAAGACCACCCAAAAGTGAAAAACTTGATACAAAATTTTAATCACTTAATTTTAAGCACTTCAGTTTTTTGGAATAATGCAAGAGACAGTTACAATCCCAAAGAATAAAGTATAAGGAGAAGATGCAGATAAGAAATAAAAAGTGTGCCAAAAAAATACCATTTCAAAACAAGGGGAGACTGAATTTCCGGGTAACACTCTGTAATTGTATTTGTTTGTTTTTAGTAACGGAAGGAAAGACAGACTGAATGTTATCCAGGCAACTATAGTGTATAGGAAAATGGATACACTATTTACTATGAGGAAGCAATATTAAAAGTAAATACAAAAGCTTAAAAAGGGGGATGACTCAACCCTCCCTACAACCTAAATACATTTTTCTCTTTCTCACACATAAATTTCAGAAAAATCTCTCAACCTATGATTTTCGGTTTGTACCCCACCCCTTTATCCAAGATAGGCTTACAATGCTTCTAAGATTATCCAGGATTGGTCACTAAAAATTAATTTATGTTTGTTTGCGTAGTACTCAGTCTCTGTGTGTAAAGTTTTTAATGAACAAGCCAAATGTTGTGTAAAACTATTTTTACATTTTGCTAAATAGGATTCGAAAATATTCCATGACGAACAGAAAAATGTAGACAGGTACACAATAACAGGCTCCTCTTACAATTGACTGAATAAAAATACTATATCTTTAGGGAAAAAGTAAAGATTTGAGAAAGCACAGAAAACATGAACCCCAAAAGACTGATATGAGCAAATGGCCTTTGAAAAAAAGGCCTTTGAAAAGCCAGATCAGCTTATAGCTTCAAGATCAGCTATATTAAAGTAACAAAATAAATCTACAGGTAGTATTGATAATCCACGTAGACAAGTTATTATTTCTTACTAAATTTATAAAGATCACCCGTCCATTCTAATTATAGTAACTAAACTGTATATAAATATGAAAAAAATCTAGTCTCTCAAGTGACTTTCAGTTTGATAGAATAAAACTCAGCCTAGGGCAGACGTTCAAAAAAGCAGGCTCTCTGTTTCTTTTTTCTTTTTTTTCCCCACAAATTATTACAAAAACTTTTACTCTAAAGAAATATAAAAAAGTAAGCATGTGTGTAAATAATTGTTTATGTCATTGTAAAATTAGCATTTCATTGAAACGGGATAAAATATTTAACCAAGCAGAGCTGGTGAATGTTCCCTAAAAAATTAAAAAAAAAAAGTAACCTGTAAAGAATCCTTTAAATCCAATAAAAAAGCCATTCTAGCAAAAAATGGAAACTACAAGCCTGTATTATCAGAAAGATTGTCAACTGTCAATGAACATTAACTGAAAAAAACGGACTTTTTGAAGTCTTAAGAATCTCTGACACTTAAGATAAACAGAGTGAAAGGATATTTTTTGAACAACACAGAGTATACATTCTTCCCTGCTAACTGGATTTCGGTGAAAATATTCCACATAAGACACGGTTACCTACAGGAATAAAAGGTCAGGCAGGTGGAAGGCAGTTGTATTTTCACATGGAAATCTTCATAGTTTCCAAGTTATTAAGTGTGATAGGGAAAAAGAGGATGTAACACCTTTATTACAGTTAGGCACTTAAGTACATGCCGTGTATTTGGCATACTGAAGCTGTCTAACACTCCTAAACATATTCCTGGTTAATCCAGATTTTATGGAAGTATTTTGTGGAATTAACTGTGCAATGTTTTCCTAAACTGCAATGAAGAAATCATTGTTACTGTGTTTTTATTTTTATTGTCTCATGCAAATTGAAACCATTAACTAGCTCATAAAGTCGATTTCCTGCCTCTGTGCTTCCTAATTTTGGGGATCTCTTTAAAATAGAGCTTTTTAATATTTGTGTATTTGTACACACATAATTAAACATACAGCATTCAGCATATGAGGCAGCCATTCCATAAAATACACGATATAGCAACATAGGTGCACGTAAACCAACCTGCCCAGTATGAAATGCCCTGTTGGATGCAACAAACCCATGCTAGCTCTGGGCTGAAAGAGAGAGCAGCCTTCATTACGAAATACATTTAGACCTCTACACTGTAGGGACAGCACGATAGCATTTGTGTGGACAGTTCAATGCTTGTAGCAGCCATTCAGTGACCAAACGTTTAAGAAGTTTTAATTGCAAAAGAAGCTGTTCAGATTATGTAGTTTGATCACCTGTGTAAGAAAGACCCAAGACCTTGCTCTGGCAAGTTAGGTCTGTCCAAAGTGTGATCCATCCACAGAGAAGTATCCAGTCTTGATTTAAAAAGCCAATGACAAACAGTCCAGCTTCTTCTTAAGCAAACTATCCCATAACATTATCTGTTTTGCTATCTGAATTTCTTTTGTTTCATCATCCAAACATTGCATTTTATTTTATCTTCTTCTATTATATTGATGTGCTATGTAATATAAAGGATCCTGTTTTCTGAATGTTACTGAGTCACTGAAGTCTCTCCCAAATAATTAATATATTCGAGGGAGGTGATCCTGCCCCTCTCCTCTGCCCTGCTGAGGCCACATCCAGAGTACTGTGTCCAGTTGTGGGCTCCGCAGTACAAGAGAGACATGGCACGACTGCAGAGAGTCCAGCGGAGGGCTACCAAGATGGTTAGGGCACTGGAGCATGTCTCCTGTGAAGCAAGGCTGAGAGAGCTGGGCCTGTTCAGCCTGGAGAAGAGAAGACTGAGAGGCGGTCTGACCAACGTGTCCAAGTATCTGAAGGGAAAGTGTCAAGAGGATGGGCCAGACTCTTGTCCGTGGTGGCCAGCGACAGGACAAGAGGCAACAGACACAAAGTGGAACACGGGAAGTTCCGTCTGAACCTGAGGGAAAACTTGTTGACCGTGAGGGTGAGGGAGCAGTGGCACGGGTTGCCCAGAGAGGTAGTGGAGTCTCCTTTGCTGGAGAGATTCAAAACCCGGCCGGACGTGGTCGTGGGCAATGTGCTGAGGATGAGCCGGCTTGAGCAGGGGGGGTTGGACTAGATGATCTCCAGAGGTCCCTTCCAACCTCAGCCGTTCTGTGATTCTGTGACATCTCAAAAGTTGTTACTTTCTCACTATAAACTATGCTTTGTCATACTTCACAAATATTCCCTCTAAAACCAAAACAAACAAAATCAAATGCTTTTTCGAAATGCGGACATCAGAGCTGATCTTAGTTGTACAGAAATCTCTCATTAAATACAATATAATATTACTTTACTATTCACAATTAGCCTCTTATATGAGAAATAAAAATTTTAGATTAAAAGCTTTGGAGAATCTAATTTGAATGAAAATGTAAGCCATCTCTGAATTGTAAGTGCTGCTGTAATAAACAGTTGTGCCAATGGTGGGAATGGTATCCATAAGAAGGACAGAAGAAAACATAAAACCAGAGTCCTGCACACATTAGGCCCAAACCCAAAACTCTGCATAGTTCAGTAGTCATGCAATATTTTCTTAAAGATTTATCAGCAGATAAAAGATAATTTAATTGCTTAAACTCCTTTTACGTCTATCTGCCAATAGACATAGGCGTATGCGATTTTGAGTATGATATGCTGATCAGGTAGGTTCTGGGCCAGCACCAAGACAGGTGGTATGACAAGGACAAAATATCTCTCCTCAGCTTTGCAAATTATTACAAGAAGCGATATAGAAGCTGTTCTTTACAGGGGTGTCAAACA